ACAGAGTGTTCTGCTGGGGCCACTGGGAGGGACTTGATTGCCCAGCTTTGATGGGATTGTTGGAAGGAGAGCGTGGGAGCGGGCGGAGGCGAGGCGAGGTGGGGGCAGCAGCCCGGCAGAAAGGCAGGGGAAGGAAGGGCGGTGGGGAGCGGGCTGGCACACACGTGTGCCTGGCAGCTGGGGAGCTGCCCCTCAGGGGGCACTGAGGTGACCCATTTCTGGTCACCAGGTTACCCGGGGGCCGCTTCCTCTCCTGCCCCCATCTTCGGCTCCGGCGGCTGCTACTCTCTCCTCCTCCCACCGCAGCGCTGGGCAGGGCCCAGGTGAGCTATCCCCGGCACTGCGTGAACTGCAGCCGAGAGTTCAGCGTTTTAATTAGCACAGCGGCAGGGCAGGGAAGAGGATTTGGATCCCTGAGTGTCTCGGACAGGGTCAAGCCCCGGCTGTTCGTACTTGACCTTGATCGCGCTGGGGCCGGTGCGGAGCAGAGCTGGGTCCGTGCCCGTGCCGGGGGCTGGGGAGCGGCACCCACCGGCCCAGCACAAACGCCCTCTGTGCTGCGCTGCTGCTGGGTCCAGCATCCTCCGAGGCATTGCGAGCCTCTGAAAGAAAGCATCGTGTAGTGGGTGTGTAAAGGCTGTGGCAAATCAGAATCCCTGTGGGAGTTAACTTTGTTAACTCAACCCAGTGTGTTTCAGCTCACGTTCACTTGCCATTTGAATGCCTGATGATCTCTGTTAGTGAGAAATAATTATTGCAGTAGTGCTTTGAAATTATATGGTGCCACTCTGATGGTCTAATATGTCTGAAAAAGCAGAAGTGAAACAGCTGATCACAGTTGCTGTTCTCTGCACAGAGAATCAAATGTGGATTTTCAGTGATTCCCTGGGTGGGCTTCAGCCAGGGCACTTCCACTTTGTGTGAACACAACTGCATGACCATTGCTTTAGACCCACATGGGCCAGTGAGAGCACAAGGGATCTCATGTTAATCAAAGATAACTGGATACAGTCTTTGTTCATTAATTTAATTTTGTGAGGTGGCTTAGAATAGACTCCTGGGTACTTTTATGCATCTGTAATGCTAATCTGCTGCCTCTGCATGTATTATAAATGTTATCCTACCACTTGAAACTGAGATAAGCAAGATGTTGAATATCTCAAATAGCAGCACAAAATATTTTGCTGGTTCTTACCAATTATTTAGTCTCAGTAGAAGAGAATGTACATTTTTTTTGTTACAACAAGGCACAAGCTTTGTGTTGCCAGTTTTTCCTCATCGAATGCTATTTGTTCAGCATCTTAGTATTAGACCTCTTATGGATATAGGTACTATTTTGAGGAGATAATTTTTGGACTCTAATGTAAGCTTTTGCTCTTTGCCTTGAGAAATATCTCATCCTTTCTGCAAAATGTTTACATAAAACAGATACAGTCTGTCCCATAACTTTAGATAAACACATCCAGCCTTCCCTGTTGCCTCTTGCTCTAGCAAATATGTTCTTTGAATTGATGCCTGCTCTTTCTTTCAGGCTCTGTGAAATCCAGCTTGAGGAAGCTACTTCTGTTTGCACTGATTTGAATCTGCTTTGTCAGCCTTTTCTGAGATCCCTAAAGATAGTAAATGGGAATGTGACGTTTTACTGTTGTGGGTCAACTGCTGACAAATATAAATAAATAAAAATATAAACACTTGAGGCTGAAGCTTCAGTCTGCTCTATGAATATTGATTTATGAAGAAACTGAGATGGGAGTTAAATTAGTGTCTTTAATTAGAAGGAAATGGGCATCGTTTTGGTGCCTATTCTTTTTTTTTCTTCTTTCTGGTTTATTTTTTTTAGTTGGCAATTCTTTATGAGTTGCCTGTATTTTTTTATCCATACTGATTATCACAGTGGTTTACCACCACATTTGCATCAATATGTTGCATAATCCTCAATTATCATTTTGGTTTTCTGAGTTGCTATTCTCTGAGAAAGTTTTATTGTTTTTCTTGGCTTAACTGCACACTGTCTCCACCCTCTTTCCTTCTGCAAGTGATCAAATTCTGTAAAGAATTCTCTGCTTTGGATAGACTATCACTTCCCACCCATGCTGTTCTCACTGAGGTTTGAAATGTTATTAATTTTATTTTGTGTAGGGAAAAGCTTGGCTAACCCTTCAAAACAATCTTTCAAGTCCTGTAATTCAATGAAGTCCTTATTTACAATGGCCATAGCTATTTTTCTCAGTGTTGTCCAAACTGAGTTCTCTCTGGTTACAAGAGAATGAAGCATTGTTTTCCATTCTGACAGCAAAATGGTTCTATTTTACTTTTTAGTTCAGGAAAAGTGCAGCATAACCTTGTTTAAAATGTTTTCTAGAAAAAGAAGCAGCTGTTACTCTCCACATTATGCTGTTCTTAATGGGGCCTGTGCCAGGGACTGAGGGAGCAAGGCTGGGAGTTATATATGACCTGGTGAGTGTAAAACTGTTATTCTGAGATTTGGATTTTCCAATTCTTTCTAGTGCCAAACATTGCTTTTGCTTGCACACGAGCATGTACTTCAGTTCTCTCTCTTGATTTAACTGTGTGGTTTATTTTTTCCTTTGGACTCAAAATTGTCTAAGTACAAGATAATATTTTATTATGATGTGGATAAAACCACTTCCCAATAACTGCCATTTCTGATGTACACAGTGCCTCTGACCAAGTCTGGTTTTACTGAGGTCTCAGCCTAAAGCTGGGCAGATATGAACAATTATTTCCTTGCACAAACACACAAAGTGTGAGTGGTGGCAGCATGGAAGTTGTAAATGAAACCTTTGGAAAGCTATACAGCACTGAGGCATTGGCTTTCCCTCCCTTAGGACCCACCAAAGAGCAGCTTGGAGGGAAGTAAGAAACTCTAGATTTGAAAAGAAATGTCACCTGGGTGACCTGTAACTTAGTGTCCTTGACAGTTTCATGGCAATTGTGTTAGATATCACTTAACTGTACTAGCACTGCAATTGTATCTTACCTATCCCTTCCTTCCACCCATATAAAAGAAAAAAATCAAAGCTGAAAGCTAGTTTTTCCTTCCTGTGGTAATTGTGGTGTGTTTTAAAGCACTGTGAACAGGTTTGGTAGTGGCAAGGGCTTTGAAAGAATGTTTGACATGGGCTGAAATCTGCAGCATAAGTTCCCAAAGATCCTTTTTCTATAGCTGGCTGTTTGTTTGGGAGTGTTTTACAGGGATAGCAATTCAGTGCTTCATGTACTTCTGTCATGCAACAGCTTGGTGAATTTTTTTCCAACTTCTTGACCAAATGGTCCCAGCAGTCCTTTCACCCATGCAGCGTGGTCTAAGTGTCAGTCACAGATCAAGCCTTGTTTGTGAGGAACTGAATTCATGTCAAGGCTTGAGCTCATCAGTCTGGACCCCCAGATACCCAAGAGCCAAAGGAATTGGCATTTTCACTGCTGTAAAGTTCCATTTCCTGCCCACCATTGCAGCCCAGCTGTGTTGTGAACAGAGTGGTAACTCCCCCTGCCTTCCCCCTGCACATCAAGGCACCAGTGAACTTGGCCTGAAGGTAACTTGGCTGCAGGGCTGCAAGCACTGGCAGCAGCTGAGTGCATTCTTTCCTCATCTCCCCTGGCAGCAGCGTGCTGCTGGGCTGTGGCCACCTGTAGCACATGGCACCACCACAGCCTGCATATCCACCACCTGGAAAAGAAAGAATAAAAGGGGTCTGTGTGTGAGAAACTGGAAAAAATGGTGAATCTGGAGCTTCATCAGTACTGATGAAGTCAAGAGAACATGGGCCTGCCTGCCATGCCGGTGTCGGGAAGGCTCCACCAGCACAGCTCAGACTTTCCAGGGATCCCAGAAGACTATTTGAGCATTTATTTTAACTCTCCCACATAAATCTGATTGTAGTATTTCTCATGATCTCCTGTGGGAAGAGTTAGGTCACAGCTTGGGTTAGATTTCATGACATGACTGTTCTCTGTCTTGGAGATTAAGATTTTGTGTGCTCTCAGTAGAAAGAAGAGGGTACTGAGGGCCCACTCATACCTGGAAATAGATACCTGGCTCATCTCCAGGCAGTCTGGAGACTGCACTCCATCAGGAATATATTTGAGATGAGAGGAACCACAAAAGGAGCTCTGCCCCATCCCTGCTGCATCTGGAACTGTGTCTCTGCCTTTGTTAGTGCTCTCTCAGGGCAAAGAAAGACAGATTCAGATGGAGTTTATATACACAGATAGATACATATTTCTATATAGATATATAAACCCCATATATATAAAAATAGATATAGCAGATATCTATATAGATATAGCTAACTGTTGCTACAGTCCTTCCCCTAGATGGTGTTTTCTGTTCTTTATGATCTAGATACCTGCATTTTTCTGCTGCAGGGACTTGTGCCAAGAGAAGACCCACAAAAGCTGAGCTGTCTCCTCTGTGTCTCAGTCTCCTTGGTGCTGCCTGAAAGGATCCCTGCAGAGACCCCAAACCTGGCACCCCTTTGCTGCTGCTCAGCCATGGGCCCTGCAGCTGGTGGGGATCATGCTCCACAGCTAAGCAGTAAGTAACTAAAGCTTCAGGAGTCCTGCTAACAGAGCGTCACCCAAGCATAATCCAGGCCCTGACTCAAATTGACAAGGACAGGTTGGGCTCTGAAATAATCTCTTTAAATAGCAGCAGCCATCTCTTTCAAAGGCACTTCCCCCCCAGCCTGCCCTGAGAGCTGCTTACAGCACATTCCCGGCTATTTCCCACCCTGGCAGTGCAGGGCTGACACTTCTCCCAGGCAAGTGTGTCCCCTGCCAGCAGTGTCCCAGCTTTGCTTTGCACCAGGAGTTACCATGAATTTTGCAGCACAGTTTATCTACTTCAGGGTCTTAAAAAACAGAAGTCCCAGGGAGCGCTACAGGGAAGACGAAGACTACGATCCTTTCTGGCAAAGGTTGGAGAATATTGCTGTCTGACTTAGAGCTAGAGTGCTCCTTTATCCCCCTCAGGGCTCATGGTCAGCCCTCGGGGTCCCTCCAGGGCCTGGCCCAAGGACATGACAACCCCTGGACCCCTCCTGCCTCCTTATGCTGTCGTAGTTGGAGTTTTGCTTCGCCTCGTTGTGTATTTAGTCGCTGTGCTGTATAGGTAATGCTTTCTTTTTCCTTTCCTTAATTCCTTAAAAAAATCAAACCAAACAAAAAATCTAGAAAATTGTAATTTTTCATAATCTCCCAGGGTTCTGTGGATATGGGTTGCTCTTGGAGTTATCCACCAGAAGTGGTGGAGATTTTAATATTTTTAGCCCACAGAGTCCAGCTTTTTTATTTCTTCAAGAGCATGGTATCAAAAATAACCCTAGACAGGCCAGTGGACTGCTGAAAATTTATCTTGGGATAGACCATGTCAGATCCTGTTATTACAATTGTGTGGTTGTCTTTGTTATGGTGCTTATGGTGATCTTGAATTCCTGTTTTCAGACTTGGATGGTGCAGATGGAATTTAAGAGTCATCTAGTGTCCTTGTGTAGCGAGAGCTGAGGCTGTGCACACACATGGCATGGTGGTGTTGTGCAACCTCATTCTTAACCTTTTCCATAGTTTGTTTTTCTCTCCATTTTACTATCTGGACACCACTATTGAGATCATGCTCTGGTTTTGCCAGATGTGGTACAAACAAGGAACAGTTCTCATTTCCTGCATCTCCTTGTCACAGATGTTGTTAACGTTTAGGATATAAATTGTTTCAGTGGGCCTGATGCTGTTCATAAAAGGGAAGGCAAGGTCTTCTGCACTGTAAAAAGGGCTTGCCCAAAGTCACCCATGATATGACCTGTTCTGCAGTGCACTGTGGATCTCCTTTCAGCACAGGACCACTCTTTGCTCTATTTTGAGTTATGTTATTCGTTCCTAATTGGAAGTGAATTATGGAGATGTGTTAGTCGCCTCTAGACTCAAAATACATTCAACTTAGGAAAAAGTTTAATTGCTTAATGAGTTTTAGCTGCCAAACTCTGTGCAGTGTTGGATAGCTATAATTTGACTTTCACAGCTGAGAATGTCTTATAAGAACTTCTGAGAGGGATGGGTCTGTTGGAGGGACAGTTGGTTACCTCTGCTTCAACACTGCCATCATGGGTGGCCTTGTAAATTCCTCTTGCTTTCAGATTGCTTTTCCTAGTGTTTTCTATTTAGCAGCTGACACCCAGTTGGCACTGCCAGCAGTAAGCAATGACATGTGCAGAGTGTGTACAGAAGAATGGCAATAGATTATGACCACAGATGAAGGCATATACAGTGCTGGGCTCAGGCTCTGGTAAATCTGACTTGCCAGAAGTAAGGAGAGATGTTATCAGAGGTGATAATACAGCTTGGTTGTTTGCTGCATGAGCTTGAGCTTTCTTTGTGTGTGTTGCTGGTGCAGCATCACACAGTTTGTCAGGCCTGTATATGATGAGTGAAGCTCTAAAGGCCTGCTCAGTCTCAAGCCTTGGTTATTATGTAGCTATCTCTGCTGGATGGGCACAGTGCTTACACTTTTGTCCCCAGCATGGTTACTATGCCCCAACCTCCTTGTCTTTAAGACACTCTGATAAATAGCTCTGCGGAAGTCTTAGGCAAGCCCCTGGATCTGTCTGTGTGTCCCAGTTTCCGTCAATAAAGTTGAGCTAATATTTGCTGAACTTGTCCTTCTGTTTAGGGGAAGGTGGTGGTGATTGCTATATGATTTAGGAGCAATCACTTTGCATAGGCTTTAGATATATAAAGGTCAGATATGCATTTTATATTTCCATCCTGTATGTGCCACTAGTTGGAGTGATACAGTCTCAAATGGGTGTTTCTAAATACTAGTATTACACAAAATACTGATAATTCAATTCAGTATCAAAATAATGATGATTCAAGACAGTCATATTTAGAGTGCAGTATTGTCTTTGATCTGTTTTGAATTTATTGTCAAAGAGAGAATTTTCAAATTTATTGTGCTCTTTCCCTGTGCCTGCAGGAGTTTTTCACCCTGTAGTGGTATGCAGGGCACTCAGACACTATTGAGTGCATAACCTGGAATTTCTGGTAGTGAAGATGACATTTGTTATGATCCTTCTTGATACTTTTATCTCAGCAAGCCTCTGTTTTTCTAACATTTTTCTTTCATAAAGTCACACTTGCACAAGTTGCCGAGATGCTTTAAAGAATTGCTGCTATTGCAGTATTTGGATGTATTTGGGAATGGGTAAAAAGGTAGAAGAGGAATTGAGATGGAACAGGAATGTTTATTAGCTACTGGAAAAGGGGATTGCAACAAACAAGGAAAGTATCAGAGGGGTCTGGGAGGCTCAGGTGGCAAGAAGGGTCAGAGGAGACAGCACTGGGACATGGAATTAGAAGGATTAATGGAGCTGGAGAGGTTCTGGGTAAAAGGGATTTGGATGAGGTAAAGGGCCCTCTCTGTCATAACCCAGGATTGCCTCTTTCTCACTCCTGTAAGAGGAAATCCCAGCCCCAGCCACTTGCATTCGTAAGCCAGGCACATTGCACCTGCAGCAAGCTGCTCACCCTGCCTTGCCCCCTGTACCTGGCCCATCTCTGCTCAACACTGAGGAAAGAGGCAGAAGTGCCTTCAAATGGGGTCACCTTTTCCCTTTATAAGTATTCCAAACTTGCAGGTGTAAGATCTGAGCCCAGTTACCTGAAAGCAGATGACAAATCTGTCTAAAGCTGTTTTTTACCAATGTCCCTTGGTTAGTGTGCTCCAGGAAAGTCTTCAGGGAACTTGAAGGTGATGGCAGCATGTAGCTATGACCTTAAGAAACCCCAAACCCCAAAACATTAAAAAAGGACAAAATTAAGATCCACATGTATGGAAGAAGATGTGCATATGAGTTTGAAGTGGTATTCAAGGTTAACATTTTGTGACTACTCAACTGCACATTTTGCAACACTGTCAGTCCCTCTTTATAGTGAATGTGTATCACTGTGAATGCAGATGACAAAAACTGCTGTAGAAATGACAAAGAAAGGCTGAGTTTTCAGTCTCATATTAAAATTAGTTTTCTTTTGTGACAGTTGAATTTCCATCTGTTAACTGGTACATGGGAATGTATGTCCATAATTTCAACTTCATGTCTGCCTCAAAATGTGCTGTTGTGACTCATTTTGCAAGTGTTAAAAGCTGCCAAATGGGCCAACTGCTGACATTGGGTACATCTGCAGTCAGCACTGGGTCAGGCCAAAGGGCAGTCCTCCTCTGTGTCCTCTCTCTAGGGGTGGCCAGTAGCAGAACTGGGAGAAAAATGAAAGCCACCCAAGACACTTTCTCTCACATGCTTTCATGGAGCTTGCTCAGGGGCTTCCTGAATCACAGATTAATTCTTGAACAATGTGCGTGTTGGTCACTACTTCCATTTAGTTGTGCATCCTTTTAGGAGCCTGTTTGCGTTGTTGTTCTTTGTAGAGTCCTCCTGCAATGAGTTCTGTGAGCTAATTATTTTCTCTAAGAAGGGAAATTTTAAATTTTCTACCTCATACTTTAATACCATCTCCCCCTAACATTTATACTGGGCAGAATGGTGAATAGTCTTTCACACTTTGCTATTCCCTGGACATGCATGATTTTGTAGATGTTGTTCCTTTAGTTTTAGAAGCTGAGGATATCCAGTGCATCAGTTTAATCTGTTTAGTCTGTTTTGTGGGTCCTGAGGGAGGCAATCTGAAGTGCTTGGGGACATGGAACATGGGGACATGGAACTGTCCATCATTGCACACTTGGACACTTCTCTGTCTAAAAAAGGCAACAGTTGTGGTCTTTAGGTATAGCATGCATTATTGCCTTTCATCTTCCCAAAATTATTTTTGCTGGTTTTATTATTTTCGTAGTTTGTTAACATTGCTATTTTTGAATTTCTTTCCCTAGTGCTGTTTAACTTGATGAATATTATCAGTATGTTCAAGAAAACAAACTGGAAATAGAAAAATGATTCATTCCAAGTTGTTGCTTTTTATTATTGTAGGAGTACATTTTGGTACACACTGTTTTTGCATTGACTTTGAGATTTTAAAATATGTAAAGCTATCTCCTTAAACAAATGATATTTTTTCCTGTGCCTTAATTGTTTATGGAAAGTCTGCATATGGATCTTCTCTTTTTTTTCCAGTTATGCTGAGCAGCTGTTCTTGAAAAAGTAGGTTTATAAACTGTATTTTCATGTTTGCTTTTACTAATCACTTTAAAGGTAAAATGTTGTAATTTATAACCACATAACAAAGCTTGCCAGCTGGGTGTTTGTTTTATGTCTGGAAATAAACAGACCTTTTAATGCAAACTTGTGACAAGCTCCAAAAAAGGAAAAGCTCCATTTGAAAGGAGCAGTGCTTTGTATGCTGAGGTTTGGATTTATATTGGCTCAGATCTTGAGCTGGTGGACATGGCTGCTGGAGTAGGGGCTGGATTCTGTGACTGTGCTTGAGAAGTCATGAGCTGTGTTTGTGTGAGCACTTGCATGCTTTGCTGCCTGTAAAAGAAATCCATCTAGATCTTTGCCAAGCTTGTGGAATGCTTTGGAGGCAAGAAATACTTTTGACCCAACAGGGCCATTAGTTGCCCATTTGTGCTATGTGATCAAACCTCAGCCCGCTGTTTACCTGGGGAGTTTGAGAGCTCTAGGAGGGTCTGTGGCACATCCAGGCGGGCTCAGTATGGGAAAATATAATTTTCTAATGTAAATGAGACATGTGGGTGTAGAAGAAGAATCAAAGTTATTCTGAAATAAATACACACAATACATATATATACAATAGAATGGTATCCCCTTGATGAAGAGGCTGCTGACTTTTCAGATGCAAATGTATGAGAGTTTTTGTATTAAGTATTGGGATAATAATAATTCAGATGTGCTCTAAACCTAACTCAAGCCTGAAAAGCCTATACATATTTTACAGCTGTTTGATTTCTGTTCCTCTTTTCCTGTGGTCACAATGGAGTCCTGAGCCGATACTCACTGGTCATGGGAGTGGTACTGCACATCAAGGACTGAGAATCTGATTTACTTCCCTCCTTTTTTCCTGCCAAAGAAAGGGAAACCTAAGACTAGCCAAAAAAGCAATGTACCATTTCAGTCTATTTGCAGATACAAATATTTGATGGCCCTAGTGTGATGAGGCATTACCATGCATTTCTACTTTCTCACAGAATTCTGCTTCATTGATAAACTTCTTGTGGTCATCTTTGGCTGGATGTTTTTATAGACTTTTTGATTGCAACAGATGCAATGAAAAATGTGAATTGTTCTTCCATCTGAAATGCCAATTGGATAAAAAATTTGACCCATAAACTCACAAATTTTTGATCTGCCTTTTTTTTTTACCCTACATAGACTCTTTTAAACCATTTCCAGTGTAAGAACATAATTCACTGCTAATGCTTGCTAGACATTTTAGACAGTACGCTCAGAAATAAGACATATCTGTTCTTCCTTTTGGAGTACTTATGGGAGTCTGTGATATGGAAAACATTTTTTTGGAATGGAGAGGCATGGATTGAACTTTACTGTGGCCTCCTGGGTGCTGCTGCTGCTGTTGTTTTCTGGGGGCTGTGCTGTAACAAGTTCACAGGGAGGCAGTCTGATCTGGTTCTCAGCTTTGCATTAAGCAGACTAATATGCACCCGAGCTAACACTGGAAGCTTAACATCTTTATGAAGTGTTCCAGCTGTCTAACCCCAATGGGGCAGAGATGCAGAAAAGTATGGAACAGAGCTCCTTGATAAGTTACTTGGTTTGAGGCAGAATGTCTGGTGTTAGACTGTGTCAGCTTTAAGAGACAGTATTGGGAAAATACTTTAGATCACAAGTTTCAACATAAAGAAGTTACAAATGTGTATATACTTTATCTTAGAAAATCAGTGTTCTCATTAATTTTAGAGAGAGAGGATCTTGCTACAAAAATTTTCTCCTGTGAAGATATACAGAATGATTGATGCTGTGGTATATTACTTGATTCTAATAATAAAACATTTTATGTTGCCCATACTGTTATGTGAATTCCTCAGTGGAAAAATTGGAAGTGTAATAGGAGCCAGAGCTACTGGCACAGATTATTGATACCATTAAGGAAATGGATGATGCCTAAAGTGGGCAATTGCTCAAAAAACAGATGTTTCTAAACATTTAAAAATTCTTTTGGAAGTTGCTGCAAAGCATATTATGGTGTTGATCACTGGTGTAAAATGTGCTTTAGCCAGTTCTGTTGATGGATAGCTGCAAAACTTAGACCCAAATTATTTTAGAAAAAAGGTAAATATTTTTTGTTGGGGATAATGCTGGAATGTCTGACATGATTTAACACATTTGGTTTTAGAAAACCATTTCAGCCAAATAGATTAATAGTGAGTCATGCAGAGGAGCTTGTACCATCTGTCTATCACAGTCACAAACCAGGGGTCAGCTCTTCTCCAAATCACTGCTCTTCTGCTTAATGCTCCCTTTCCCCACAATAATCTCCAAATTCCTAGAATTCCTAGAAGTTTTGCATGTATCTGTTAGTAGGACTGCAGAATCCTGCACTACAGTACATTGTTCCTTGTGAACTGAACGCTGTGGAACATAGAGTCAGGCAGTTGAAGGTAGCAAATCCTGCAATTTTTTCTAGCAGTGTGTCTCTTGTATGTTTCTTGGGGAAGGAGATTTTTGTGCCATCATATTTCTGCCATATCTGCACAGATATTTGCCCGTTAAATGTTAACCCACAGATCAGAAGACCTAATTCTTTAGCTCTGTAGGAGGATGTAATTATTGTACCTTATCAAAGTAATTTCCTTCCCATCACGAGGCAGTTGATGGCTGTCAAGAGTATGCAAGTATGCAAGGGCAGAGAGCACATGTACAACATAGTGGCATTTGTTACTGCTATTAATAGTTTATGGGAGTGGTCTGCAGCAGTTCCTTGCCTTTTTTGAAAAAGATAGAATTGTGTACAACTCCAGTTATTCCAAAATTTTTGGAAGCACTGAACTAGAATCATTGCTGGTTGAATACTGAGTACTAAGGAAGGTCTTGCTGTCCAGACAGCACAAATTATAGATTTCTTCTTTTCTTGGCTAGGACAGCTTCACAGTTTGCCCAGATGTTGAGCTATTTGTGGCTTTTCTAACAGCTGGAAGGTGACAGTATCTTTCAGTGCACCTACAGGTAGGTATAATGTCAGTAGCAACTCACTCTGCCTGTTTGAGGCTTGCAAAGAGCAACCAAGATGTGCATCCTTCTAAAATGCTAAATATCAAGCCTTCAATCATCCAAGCCTTCCTAACAAGTTTCTTTTATTTGTTTTCAGGGATGACAATAAAATAAAGAAACAAGATATCCCAGCAGTTTGTGATCTTCACTGCTGTAAGGATGTCCCTGTAAGAAATGGCCTTATTGGGCAGAAGCCACCCTCTATCAACCCCGAGAGACTGAAGGATTTTGGTGAGGAGGACTACCTGAACGGGGATGTGAAGACGTGGGAAATGAAGATAGTGAGCCGGAATGAGGAGTTGCTCAGGGATGCCCTTTCCTGCATCCCTCAGCCAAGCAGTAGGACCAGCCTGGCAAGCTGTAGCAGGCTGATTCGGTTTGAAGACATTAGTGCAGCAGCCTTCAAAATCCAGTGTGGTGTTCAGAAAACCCCCTGCATGGTAGGGAATCTTTATGGGTTTGTATTTTCTCTATGTTTCTTTTTATTTTCCTTATGAAAGTCGATCAGAAATGAAGAAAGGATATGTGTGAATTGCAGCAGATAGATCTGTGTGAGAAGACTCATGTTCATATTAATTGTATTTAACTGTCAATAATAATTTTCTTCTTATCTGTTTATACTAACCTAAATCCTCAAAGATTGCAGTGACCTGTAAACAAAGGATAAACCACATTAGGCATAGACTTAATGCACTGTGGTATTATGCTCCCAGTGAAAAACTCCTGCTATAAGGAACCTGAGTTGGAGGTGGCAGACTATGAGTGGTTGGGTAAGCACTCTTGTGTAAGCACTCATATTTGGAGGGTTTGAAGGCACAGATTTGCCTTCTGTCAGGCCAGAAGGGCTGGCTATGTTCTGTAGCCAGGTATTTCTGCCACAGCTGTCTTCAGCAAAATAAGGATGCACACAAACATGTGCACCTGTCACTGGTGTAGAAATGACTGAGATACCCCATCAATGTACAAGATCTGCTAAAGCACAAGAGAAGTACAATGGCAAGCTGTGCTGTATTTCTGTACTTTTTCATAGTGTTTTTCTACCACTGGGAGCTCTTCAAGCAGGATACTCTGGGTTCTCTGGGTAATCTCTTTTCCTTTTGGTGGGTGAAAAGAGGGTCTTTGCCAAATGGCAATTCCTAGCAGCAGTCCCGAATCGCAGTCTCAATGAATCCTTGTGGATTGTTTTTCTGGCATGCACAGGGTAAGAACCTTGCAATCTGCTTGGGGTTAGCAGTCCCTGGAGTGAAGTGGATGGGTCCTCAAAGTTCTCCTTGTTCCCATATGCCACCTGCTGATGCAGAGACATCATAACTACTTCCAGTGTGGGTTTTTTAGCCTAGCATTCCCTAAATAAGGACAGCTGTGCTTTTTGTAGCACATTACTGAAGTATCTCTTGTGTCAAAGGACATGGCACAAGACAGTTTGGGGCTGTAAGGTGGCACAAAAGATTTGGCTGGAATGCAGGGAAGTTTTGGCTAGGGTAGAGTGAATTTTCTTCACAGTAGCTGGTATGGGGCTGTGTTCTGGATTTGTGATGAAAATATTGTTGATAAGACAGAGGTGTTTTTGTTACTGCTGAGCAGCTCCTACACAGAGTCAAGGTGTTTTCTCTTCCTCACTCCATCCCACCAGTGAGAAGACTGGGGATGTACAAGGAGTTGGGAGGGGAGACAGTTGGAGCTGCTGACCCCAACTGACCAAAGGGACATCCTATACCATATGACACCTTGCTCAGCAATAAAATTAGGGAGAAAGTTGGCTGGGGGCCTGTGGCTCAGGGCCTGGTTGTTGGTGAGCAATTGTTTTCAATTGCATAAGCTGTCTTTCTTGGGTCTTATTTATCTTTGTTGTTTTCCTTTTAATTACATTGTTGTTATTTATTTATTTATTTATTTATTTATTCTTACTAAGTGTTCTTATCCCAACCCATGAGATTTCTCACTTTTACCCTTCCAATTCTCATCTCACCCAGAGCACAGGGGCAGGGAAATGAGCAAGTGGTAGGATGATATTTAGTTGCCAGCTGAGGTTAAACCATGACACTCCTCAACTTTCTCCTGGTTGTTCCTGGCAGATTTATGCAACCCAGTTGCATCCCCTTTCTGCATTTACTGTTTCAAGCTAAACAGTCTCACTTTAGTCTTTTTTTATGAACTATGCTCTTAAAGTTATCAGAATACTGGAATACCTATACCCATGTCAAAACCTGTATATTTTACTGTGAAAATAGCCCATGACTGTTGTTATTCAAAGTAATGTTCCTGCAGAAGTTATTAGTGCATTTCATGCACTGTTTCAAAAACACAGAGTGGTGTCAAGAAGAACACAGAAAACCTTTATTTTAACTCATTGTGTAGAGGTAAGAGTCCCTCTCAGAGATATTTATTTAGATTAAAAAGTGAGTGTGACTATAATCCATTTGGTTAATTGAAGGGAGAAACACTTTGCAGAGGGCGATTCCTGATCTGCAGGCAAAACCATGGATGGAGCATGGAGGAGCATGGTTCCGTAGGCAGGAGTTGGCCTTGGAGCTGAGATATGGCATCATGAGTGAATTGTAACATGTCCAAGAGGTAGTAAGCATAAGCAAACTAGGAACTGATATCAGGCTGGACACCTGGTTTGGCTACTGGTGAAGGAGCTGTGAGGGTTGTGTTGTGTCGTGTCAGCTTTGTGGATGCCAGAGGGAGGCTCTGCTGTGTGCTGTACCTTAGACATGGTATCTGTAGTCCTTAGATAAGATCACAGTGACTCAAAGGAAATCTTACAGGCTGGTTCAATGAGTCTTAGGAGGTTACACATGAGGTCAGTTCAACTGCAAATAGCACTGATGCCTGCTTTGTTAGAAGTAGTTGCTATATTTAGGCTACATGAAAAAATCCTCTGTTAAAGGAAGATAAAAAGGATAACCTAAAGAATTAAAATCCTGAGTATCAAAATTAAAGATAAATATCAATCTAAAGTACACCACCCCTGTGGGAAAGAGTGTCTTAATGACATAGTTTTAAATGTAGGAAGCTTAGCGACTTTATTATGGACAGAATTAATTTCCTTAAATCCTTTTTCTGATTGTTTGCTCTAGAATCCAAGATTCTCTACAAAAACAAGCATGGTATGTGAAGCACTAGCAGCATTTATTTTATGGTGTTGTTCTATTTTGCATAGGCATTCTCCATAGATGAGGATGTTTAGGATATAAACTATTATCCTATTAGTGTGCTAAGCACTTTCCATCGTTTCAGTTTCTGCAGCCAGATTTGCGAAGGAGCAACAAGTGGTAGCTCCTATGTCAGGATTTTCAGAAGCAAAACAGAGAATCTGGCCCCACCTATGGGTGAGGAACTTAAACATATGCTTGGAAATCCTTGAAGCCTAAAAAGCCTTGAAGTGTTCACCTGAAACACGTAGTTTAACTGCATACTTTAAAGCAAGTGTCTGCTTCAGACATATATAGTTTATATAAAAAGTCACCTGGAAAGTCCTGCAGTCTGAAAGCCGTGTCAGTGCCTATTAGTGTGTACACTATACATTGTATGTATGACACTGCCAGATATTGCTTGAGAGAAATATTTTGTCATGCTGGTTTTGGATCTGTCTCGCTTCATGGCTTATCTTAAATGAGGACTTGATCCCCTAAATCACCAGGGCCTCATTTGCTTTGGCAGCCAATAGAGGAGATGGAGCCAATTCTGAAATAGAGCTGCAGTAAGCCTGGGGAGCTGGCACCCACAGGCTTACTGCTGCTTTATTTCACAAGTTATCTTGTGTAAAACTCTGAATTTAATGAATATGGAAATAGGAAATTAATATGTTGATACATGCTGGGAGTGTCTTATTATAAAGCTTAACAAATATTTGCCATTAAATTTTTTTAAAAATCATGCATTTGGGCAGTGCATCACATGTAATGTGCTTGCTAATTCCCCTCAGCTCAGGCATCATTTCTATTCCAAACACTAAGCTTTTCCAAACAGCTGCTGCTTACACTTGCAGTCCTGGGAAATTGTTTTTTATTGTTTCCATTTTTCTTTGAGTAAGAAATGTCTTTGCTAATATTCTACTGGCCTTAGGATGCAAAATAGACAACACTCAGTAGGGAATTAGTGGCAGAAACCATAGCAGAGCCATAGTGGGGCTCAAGGAGGTATTTTCTGATGGCCTTTGTATCTATGAGATGATGAACTTATTTTTTGGGTAGTTAATATCCAGTTCTGGCAAGTGCTGGATGTGTGGGTTTTGAGATAATTGAAAATATTTATTTTAATGCCTGTGTTTGAACAGTAAGATCCAAAGCAAGTGCTATTTTCAGAGTTCTTAATGGTATGTGGTACATAGTTCACTGCTGTGAGTTTGAAAATCACTTCCATAAAGCAGAAGGACCTGGTAGGTAACAATACTCTATTGTGAATGAAGAACCAGAAGATGAATTTTGCTTTTTAGAGCTCATATATAGGAGTAGAATTCATGCCTCAACAGGCTGCTGATGAGGTGTGGAAGTTTTTTCTTAGTAGTAGATATATTGACATAATATTATTTATCTGCTCCAGTATTCTAGGCTATCCAAGCAGTACGGAATGGACATCTACCTGAAGAAGGAGTTCCTCCAGTACACAGGGTCTGTGAAGGAACGAGGTGTACTTTACCTTCTGATGTCATTGCCTCAGGTATAGCAAAATGTCAGCATTCAAAAAGAAGTAGAGTAGCTCTGCTTCATGAAAATGGAGCAGAGTTGATGATAAAGTTACCTCTAATCTCCATGGAATCACAGTGTTCCTTGTCTTTAGAATCATTGTACTGAACACAGCATGTCAACAGAGATAGGTCTGAATGTAGAATAATACTTTATTTACAATTGGCTGATCTGCTGATGAAATTCTTAATGTTTGAAACAAAAGCTTGCAAAATGGAAACATCAGCATTTTCTTGTGGCATTAAGATGCAAGTGTTTTTAGGTGTACTGTAGTTCTGATGTGTTGAAACCACCAAACTGATGAGCAATGATGAAATTGAATTACAATGAGTGATGACAAAGATCTAGATCACCAATTGATTTTGTAATGAATTTCAGTTTTCTTACATGAATAGCTTGTTTATCATTTGTCATAGGAGATTATTGCCATTGTCACAGGAGTCTCTGCAGTAATTGTTAAAATAGGCATGAGACAGCAACCCAGAGAAGTGGTTATTCCTGCCTTTCGTAATAATATAAATGAAATCTTCTATTAAAAGGAAGGAGAAATTAAATAATTTCATACAGGCAGAGCAGAGCTATAAGCTCTGAGGGACCTATCAGCTCTTCTGTGATCATTTGGAGTTTTTCAGCTCTTTTCCATGGAACAAGAATTGAACCTAGAGGAGTGCAGGCACAGGGATTGATCTTGTACTGTTTTAGCTTTGTGTGTAAATCCTGAGATCACACCAGCCATGCCATGCATTCAATTCAATCAGCTAGTAAAGGGAAAAAAGGAAGCCAGACCATTAGAATGATCCAGGATCATATGGGACAGCTATGTGACCCTGTCCAATGTGCAATAACAACCCTGTTTTCAGGAGCAGCAAAGAAAAGGGGTGATCGTGGCCTCGGACAGCAACTTCTCCATGGCTGTCGCTCACCACGCCTCCGAGCTCCGTGTGCCCGTGTTTGTGATCCTGTGCACCAGCACGGCCCCAGCCCGGGTGCGGATGTGCCGCGAGTACGGCGCCATGGTCATCTCCTACGGCGCCACGGCCAAGGACTCCCAGCTGCACGCGCGGAGGCTGGCGCAGGAGAACGGCTACCTCTACCTGGAAGAGTGAGTGACAGCCAGGCACATGAGAGAGAGCTCATGAGATGCCTGCTCAGCTCTGCAAAGCACAGTTAGTTTCATTAAAATCACAGCTCATGCAAACGCTCCTCTTACCTGGAACGTGGACTGTTACGTGTTCCCAGGCACAAATCACGTCTCTCTGTAACATTTGACCACACTTCTCTGCCCCTCAATTATGCAAGCTCTGATTTCTGTGAGCTAATATGATAGAGACTGTAGTTTAATTCTTTAGTAACTCTGTCAGAAAGCATTTAGGCTGGTGTTCTTTTCTGGTCTCTCTGAAGTTAGGTGGGTAAAAGCTAATCTTTAATGCAAATTGTTCAGTGGGAAAATGTGGAGCAAGAAGAAGTGAATGCTCTAAGAATTTCACATATCTGGTGTGAGGAACAACACTGATACTGTCTTGAAAAACAGTGATTAAGAGTCTATTTCACACATATGTTTAAAGTAGCTAAGGATGAGCATAAATCTAAATTTGAACTATTTGAGGTCACTAGAAAAAGCAGATTTAACAAAAACATAAATAAGACAGACAAAAAGTCTTAGAACTCCTACCTTTTCCCTTTTCTCTTTAATCTGTAGCCTCTTATGCATTCCCCCTCTGCCCTGCCCCTTTTCTTTTTTTACCTTTCTTCAAGAAAGATTTGCAAAAGCACAGAGGGGTGAATCATTAACAGTGGTCCCTCTGAACCCTGAGCTGGAATGTTAATGTCCCCCTGCCACTGCTGCTTCTGTGCAGGCTTCATCCCACTCCTGGTGTTTGTATGGCATCTCCTGCAGGGAGTGCCTGTTCCCCTCCAGCTCCCAGGCACTGCTGCCTCAACCACAGTAATGGTGAGGGCTGCTGCCTGGGAAGAAGATGCCAGAATGAGCAGAGCAGAGGAAGTCCTCAGTGCTTTCCCATCTGGTGTATTGGGAAGGCAGCACTACAGACTGTACTGTTCAATTCCTCTGGTAGCTCTGCCAGCAGCCAGTGACACATGGGGCTGGTTCGTGGGCCTGGTCTGCCACCATGGGCACAGTCTTGTCCCAGACTGGGATTTTCAGTGGGGAATGAGGTGCCCTGAATCCCAATGAATTCTAAACACTTTTAAGCTCCTTTGAAAACCACAGTTTTCCATAACTTGGTGATTTTCAAATTTCTGTCAGCCATTTTTCAATTGACGTGTTAACCTCTAGCTGGCTTGCATCAACTATCAAGTTCACACAAAAGAACTAAATTATTTCATTGTAATTTGATTTTAATCTTCCCCTTAAAAAATGATTTCAGTTACGTAAGGTAGATATTCTCCAGGGACAATGCATGTGTAGTACTTCAGCAACCAACACTGAGGAACTCTAAATATACCCACTACCATTCATAATACTAATGCACTCTGATTTATTTCAGGTTTCAGGTTACAATAAGCAAGTTGTTCAATCTGTGACTGTGTTTAATTAAAACCTCACAGATGAAATTTTTCACTAAAAAAAAAAAAGGAAGAAACCCCCCACTTCAATTGTGAGGCTTTTCATAATGGGATTTCTGAAAAATATTTTGTTAGGTGTAGACCTGGAGAGGTTTCCCAGTGTAATGTGTGCCTTTATGGATAGCCAGTCCTCTCCAGTGTGGGTCTGATACACATTCTTGTCACTTGCCAAAGCTGTGTGTAAAATACCAGCTGAGATCCCAAGTGTTGGAATGGAACTTCCACAATGTCATTGTATTTCAGTTTAATTCTAGCTTGGATACAATCCCAAGCAATTTGGTCTCTGGGTCTCCTCACCCAGGAATTCATTTTGCCCTTCCTGAGGCACAAGGGTTGGGTACGTGACTGGGCTGGGCTGTGCCTGCAGCTGGCTGTGTCACTGTCAGCTCTTCCCATTGCTGGGTGCAATTAAAATTCTGTGTCATGAAAATGACCATGCAAGAACTCAAGTAGACGGAGGACACTTTTTACTCAGTTGCAACTTCCTGGGGAATCCCAGGAAGGAAATGTGATTTTTCAAATTGGAATTCAATCATTTAGTCTGCTTAATTGCTGCCTAGGTGCCATGAAATTTTTACTAACTACAGGGGCTCAGGACCTCATTATAAATGCAATGTGACTATTGCCAATAACTAACTCAGTACCTCTGTGAGGGTGTGAGAAACATTCCTTTGTCAATCAGGGAGGAAAGGGTGCTGCAGATTGAATTACACACCTTCCATCCTTGAGAGCCCATTTTTTTTTCTTGTGTAACTCCATACCTAAATGCTGATCAAACCTGATTATTTCTGATCTGGTTAGTCTCTTACTCTATCCAACAGACTGAGTTCTTTCCTTGGAACAGATAGGAACAGAGACTTCTAGCTGCCACACCAAAACCTCTTTGGAAAACTAAAGCCTGACAGCCCATCTTTGATTGCTGATGTATCACATATTTCAGAAGGCAAATATCCAAGTTTCTGGCTCTGGCTCAAAAATGCTTGTGTCAGTCTACAGTCTCGATATATCTGCCCTCTTCCTTCATTTTGCCTCAATGGCATATGATATATTTTTTACTTTCAAAAAGCAAAAGTAACTAGTCACAATGCAAAGAAATTGACCCATTTTATTATAAAAGCTGATGTCTGATCAGTGAACTGATGTTTCAATGGATGTTAGCAAGGAAAACATGGTGATCTGAAATACTGATTCAAATTGCTAACAGCTCTCCATGCTCAGAGCAGTCTCATTTGGACAGTTTTCAGTGACTATTCCAAGCCTTCGTTTGTTTTTGCATGTCCCCTTGTACCCCATGCAACTATGGCAGGGGAAGCTCCACAAACTTGGATCTGAATCTTATTTGGGAATAAGTCTCCAGAACTGTTCAGGAGGCCAGTGATATATTTTGTCACATATAAGGAGGAGGAGAGAGCTCCTTCAGTATCTTGACAAGGACAGTAAACACAAGGATGCAGTTACTCATTCCACTATGATTTCTTGCCTTTGTCTTTGGCTGTGCTACAGGAGTGGATGTTCATTAATCCTATCCTTTCTTATGTAGTTATACAGACCCTTGCCCTGAAGAATTTTCTGTGAGGTAACTTCTCAAGGGCCTTGGTCTCCTCCTTGCAGGAATTCTGTTCTCCTACACTGAGCCTCTCTGTGCCTGTCTAACAGGTACAGTAATAAAAACAGTTTCCTAGTACCCAAACATCCTTGGATCAAGTAAATCAAGTACAGCCATTGGTTCTGCAATTCTGTTTGCCAGAAAAAGCAGAATGTACCAAGAGAGAGCTCACATATATTTTTGTACTTATAGGTCTACATTTACATCATTGCTAACTTGTAAATAAAATGCAAACTAGCTTTTAGAAGTAGATCCAAGTCAGTCATGACTGTATAGTGCAGTTTTCTTCAAATTTTTTGATGCTGCTTGTCCCTATTATTTATACTACATTTGCCTGAAAGTATTTTACCAGTAAATATTTTGGCATAACTAAATGCTTTGCTTAATGGAAAGGTATCAGATATTGGCCATGGACTATGGAAAGACAACTCTAGCAATCTCTTTGATATTTGTGAGGCTGAACACACTGCTTAAATCTCATGAAAATTTCCATTCATCACAAACACTAAATCCACTGATAAGTAAAGAAGGGATTTCTTTTTGAGGCTTTGCTCATAGTTTAGACTACAACATCTAAAATTTATGAAGCTGAAGGAAGTGATGGCAATGGAAATATGATTCTCCCTGCCAGTTCTGTAAATCCCTGATAGCAATGGGAGTTAAGTGCTCTTCAATCTGAAGACTCTTTGAGGGACTTTTTTACAGCACAGATTTTCTCCCAGTAGGGCACAAGTTTTCTCCCAGTAGGCAGCAGCAGGCTGTGGTCCATCTGATGGCACCGTCCTGCTGCATCACCTCCTCCCCTCGTGTGCTGCTGATTTATCTCACATTTATCTTTTTCTGCTGAACAATGTCTTGAAAGTAGTAGATGGAATTATTATTCCTGCACTGACCCCTGCTGATGTGTGCCCTTCCTTCCCCCAGGGAGGACAGTGCTGTGTACCTGTCAGGCCTGGGGACCGTGGGGCTGGAGATGTACGAGCAGGTGCCAAAGCTGGACGCGGTGATTTTCCCTGCAGGAGGCCACTGTGGCTTGCTGGCAGGGTCAGCTGCTGCACTCAAACACCTCAACCCACATATTTCTGTAATTGTAAGTTGCCTTTCACCTATTAAGCATTGTGTTTGGGTGGCTTTCACCACAGCTGTTTACAAAAGACACTGGTATCTAGTGACACTTGCAGAGACTGCCTGTGCTGGGGACAGGAACTCTCTGATCCCATGGGCTTTGCCTCAGAGAAGACCCTGTAAGAACCAGGGAAGTTCCTGTCCCTTAGCTGTTTGGCTGGGTTTAAGAGAAAAGTGTGAGAAGACTTTTCCTAAAGCAAATAAAATCCAGTTCTGTGTTTTGAAATAAGTTTTTACTGGAAAAATTTGGTCCTAAGTAAGCCACAGAATAAGTTTAGTGGTAGCACGGTTGTTTTGACACTTGAAATTGATTGATTGTTAATTTGAAGAGGAAATTTCGGTAGGTTTGGCTGTCTACTTTTGTGGCAACTTCTGTTATAACTGGTTCAATAGAAAAGTCACAACCTCTCTCTTCCTCAGGGAGTTGAATCTGAAAGTTTCCCAGTGTTGCAACAGTCCTTAAAAGCTGGCCACCCAAATGATGACCAGGCCTGCAACAATCATCACTTCTATGGAGGTGAGAAAATGCAGTATTCTTTTGGAGGTAAAATAAAGGTTTTAACAGATTTCTCCAACTATATAATTTTCTTATTATTTCAGTTCAAACATATTTTAAGGGAGTTGTGTGAAGAGTCAGAATTTAGTTCAAGCTGTAAGAGCAACTTCTGCCACATTTTCCCCCACAGCCTGATGGGGTAAAATATAATTTCCAGTGCACATGAATACTTAGAAATATGAGAGTATTTATCTGAACATTGTGCTCACACACAGCATCTAAACCAGTGAAGTCAATGGGAAAGCTCTTGTGGAAAAGGCAGGAAAATGATGCAGTGCTGAAATATTTAGACACAAAACTCTTAGAACAAAAGTGTTTATAAATAGAGTAGAGTTGTTTCCTTATCACTTGTTCAAAAAACCTCATCTGTTAAGCAATTTAAGAACATTCTGTTTGCCTGATGTTCAAATCTCTGGAAGTTTTGGATTAAATGGGACTTTTGTAAGAAACTTCTAATTTCTCTTGGTTAGCTCTGCCTGTGTCTGCACTCATAGACAGCTGTCCTGCTGGAGCTAACAAGCCCAGTACCATGCTTGGGTCTTCTCTCCTTCAATGCTCCTTGAACAGTGAAAAGCACTGGGCTGCAGGGTCACTCTCACACTGCAGCAATGCCAGTGAAGTATCAGAAGTTTCTTGAAGGGGTCCAAAATGGCAAAATCTTCTTGTGAGAGTTTTTCTTTCATTACCAAACACATTTCTGTCACATGAAAAAAATCAAGCAACTTAAGGTCATGTAACAGCAGTGTGCTGCACTCATTAAGGGCACAAACCAGCCAGGACTCTAAAAATGACTATGTCTAAAGTAGCCAACTTCATATTTTTGTCTTTTGAAATCTGCAGATGTGAGTGGAGTTTGCTTTGGCAGTAATTCTTTGCAGCTGACTGGGAAGCTTGTGGATAAAGTTGTTGCTGTGAGGTAGGTGAAGAAAAGCAGTGAAATGAATAATACTGGATGCAGAGGTTGTGTATGAAAAATGCAGACTTAGGGAGTGTGGGGATATGGGGTACCTTTCCTTCCAAGAGGGGCACTGAAGACTTTGAACCCAGACTCATAAACCATAGAAATCATGGAGCATCTCAAATTGGAAGAGATCCATGAAGGATTATCAAGTCCAAATCCCAGCTCCTCACAGGACTACCTAAAACTAAGTGATATGACTAAAAGTGTTGTCCAAACTCACCCTTTAGCCAAAATTTCACCTGACACCACTACCTGGTCACGGTCCTGGTGTAAAACTTGTCCTTGTGTTCTACAACACTTGAAGGCAGCCCTTGACAAACCTCTTCTAAATCTTCACAAAAAGGCCACATTTGTGGAATATACTTACTACTAGGACTTAGGTAATATTTCTGGTAAACAAGCCATCCTGTCTTCCAGTTAATAATGAGTCTGAGATGTACATTCACCCCCAGCAGCACAGCATTCTGTAACACCACCTTGGGATCACATGTATCTGGGTGACCCAGATACAAGAACCCAGTTACCCATAAATGTGTTATCTTCTGCTTCTGGGAGCTCTTGATTTGATTTGTTTTGACCCAGGTCTCTTGCTTTCAGGGAGGAGGACATCCTCATTTCAATGCTGAGGCTGCTGGAGTACGAGCGAGCCACGGTTGATGCAGAAGGGGCCATTGGGCTTGCAGCACTGGTGGCAGGGAAGCTGCCTGAGTTGAAGGGTAAAAGGTACAGCAGCTACTGCAAACAGGGAACTGTGGCAGAAACATGGGACTGAGCACCCTGGTCCTAGGAAACAGTGAAAATCTACTTGTTCTGTGGGTGACCAGGCAGTTCCTGCCCCTGAACTGGCAAGGGGCTTATCAGTGGTGGAAACTTGAGACTGACTGGACCGGTCACAGGTGGTAAGATTGTGCAGAACCAGATAGATGCCAGCCTGGGGACCTGACACATCTTGTCCCTTTCCTTGATTCCTTGATTCTCAGATATCTGGGGAAAGGCAGCTGCAGCTCCACGAGGCATCATTGCACCTGCCAGGACAGTGTCCTGCCCTTGTTAGCCTGTTGTGTCCATGGTGGAATCCAGCCCTGTCTTGGTGGGACAGAGCTAGGCTGCCTGCTGCAGTGACCCAGTGGCACCTGCCTCCCAGTCCTGAGAACTGTCCACACAGTCAGAGGGATTATCCTTGTGCTTGGTGTTCAGCGTGTGGCCAAGTGCTGCCTTGCCTCCCAGCCTGGGGACTCAGCACTTAAGTGGATTGAGCCTTGGCTCAGGTCATAGTCCAGAATGTATTTAAACATACATGCCCTCAAGACAAAATAAGATTTCTAGTGCAGAGGATTGTACACTCAAATACTGCTGAGACAATTCTTCAGAAGAGGCTGGCAGTGCACGCAGAGCAGAAACACATTCCAGTACAGCTAAAATAAAAGGGAAAATGCAAAGAGGGTAGGTTTGACTCTGCAGAGAGGTTTTCATAGACTAATCATGTGGCTCTTCACTTGCACTTCAAACATTTCTGCACTCATTTTTCAGGGTTGTGATGAATTTAATCAATGGTTACAGAAAACCTTGAACATACATTTTGTCTGATCAGTAAGAGGCTGAAACTTAGAACTTCCAGGTGAGAATTACATCAAATTCTTAAAACTTGCAACTTAGACCTACAGTTCCCCAGCTAATTATCTCTAACAAAACTCAAATCTCCAGGAAATGCAAAATGAAAACAACATTTCAGACCAACTAATGCAGCCAAATTATAGGCCTCCCCTACCTGCTCACAATGGATACTGAGGCAGGAGCCCTCTAATCTGTAATATTTATTGAGGGGAGGTTCTAGCAGACCTTAGGCTGATATTGGCAGTCTTTATGATCTATAGCTCCTTTACACAGGCAAGTGCTAATCAAAACTCTTGTTTTTCTGTCTGTTTTCAGAGTGGCAGTTGTTATATGCAGTGGAAACCTGGAATTACATTTGCTGCAACAGTGCATAGCTCGTGCCCTGACCCTGGATAACAGAGTGTGCAGATTTTCCCTTGTGATTTCTGACTGCCCAGGAGACATGTCAAAGCTACTGGAGCTTTTGGCTCGGGAGGAAGCAAGGTAAATCAGACTAATAGTTGGGAAATATAATCACAGATTAGCACAAAGATTATTAAAGATTGGGAAATATTTCCAAACATCTCTGAAGCCAAGTCTGTAAGTAATTAATTAATCAAAGGTTTTTTCCTTGTTATATTGCAGAAAAGTTTTTATTTCCTTGATTTTTGTTCCAGTCTGAAAACACCTTTGTTGCATAGAATTGTGTCTAATTCAGAAAGAAGGAAAGATACTCTCCAGACACTTTCAGGAACTGTTTGGCAATGACAGGGGATTGTTGTGATCTCTAATTTGTCCCTTATTTGATCTAGAGTTTTGGATATCAAACAAGAACGCACATTTGTGACATCTGAGCTCTTCACTGTTGAGGTAAGAGGAAATGCAATTTCAGCCTCTCCCATAGTACTGGCCTCCCCTGGTTTATTCTGTTTCCCTCTCTCTTTATGCCTGTGTTGAAGAAATCCAACAGAGTGTGCAGACTGTCAGAGAGTATTTCCTCTGTGTTGTACAGCTTCTTGCCAAACACTTAGCAGGCATATAAATAACACAGGACCAGTTTTACTTGCTGTTGCAACATCCTGGTCAAGTACTCCAAGTGTTGCATTGCACTGTTGCTGGTATGAACCCTGCTGACATGTGTGGCAGGTGCAGGAGGAGGTGAGCAAGCTGCAGCATCCATCCAGAACTTGAAGAGCCAGCTGTGTAGGCTGGCTGTAATTGTCTGACATGTTTGCCTTAAAGCAATGTAGAGAACACCCTTACTCTTAAGGAATCCTTGTTTGAAACTAGGGACTCAGTTTTGTTTCTTTGCCACCCAGAGCACAGAGGAAAGCCATTATTCCTTTGTTGAGTATTGGATGCAGAAAGAGTGAAGAGGTGTTACCAGCTAATGATGTCTCTTAAAAGGACAATTTTTCTCATGATGCATCTCTTATTTCAACTGGTTTGGCAAAGGTGTGGTCCTACTGATTTCATGCTATTGCTGTCCAGGTCCAACCTGACTTAGTTTGTGAAACCCCAGGTGGAAGTCAAATTAGAGATCTTTGCTAAACAGGTTCATAGATGGGGTGCAGAAATGTTACTGGGTAAGCAATCTCTTTGATTTTGGCCTTTAAATTTTATTTCCTGCCTGGATGCAAAAGCCTGCCCAATATTTTCACTCGCAGATATAAAGAAGAGGCAGATTAAAGATCAGTATGGTACATGATATCATCAATACTCTCAAGCATCTAGGACTTAACCCACATTGTTCTGCAGTGTGCCATAATGATAGGCCAGCTTTGGCTGATTTGGAGATAGTGTGACACTCACTGCACAAGGTGCAAGAGGTGGATAAATCCCTCTGAGTGACCAACTTAGCTCTGGAAATGCTTTTCACTGAAGGTTAGATTCAATACAACCTGTAACTCTAACAAAGTTTTCAATGCCATTTTTATCAAGTGAGGCTTGTAGTTTTTACTAATGCTATTAAGCAAATCAAATGAAATCTACTGTCTTAGGTGGTTTTTTTTGGTTGGTTTGTTTTTGTTTGGGTTTTTTTTAAATTTTTAGTAAATACAGGCCCTGAATGAAAACAGTGCCATATACTATTCTCTGCACTTTAAACACAGTGTAATTTCACTTCAAGAATCTGACAGTATTGGGTAGAAGGGAGGAATTTTCATCCCTGAATAATTTAATTGGATATTGGATTTGCCTGATTGCTTTCAATCAGTCTGGGAGAGGCTATTGGATAATTAGATGTGAAGTACAAAGTAGTGACCCAGACATACAGACCTCTGCAGGCAGCTCTGTCTGGGGATATCTAGAGAATTGTGAAGCTTTCTTTGAAAATTAAAACATGTGTAATCAAAAAGGGTAAAATATAGAGTTTATATGTAAGCATCAAAATGAATTTGCTCTATCCAGGTATAAGAGAAAATATCTATTTTCAGAGTAAAGCTAATACCTGCGAGGGATGTTTTGGTTTTTTCTTTGTTGTTTCTAAGAGCCAAAGACCTGTGTCATCAAAACATTTTAAGCATTTGTTATATAAATTACAGCACATAAAATAAGGTATGAATTTAAACCTGGATCATGAACCAAAATTACAACCTTGTGCTGCACTGGCAGTAATAACAAGAAAGGCTTTGCAGCTGTACCCATTTCATTCTGACTTTAATGTGGACTTTTGACTGTGGATGTAGATTAGGTGTTTGACAGAACAGAGCAGAGAGCATAGATGCTGATTTGAAACACTAAATCTGTCCTGTCAAGATCATTGCTGCAGCATTTAATCATCCTTTTAGATGTACACTTTTATTTCTAACAGAGAGAAACTTGGCTTCCAGTCACTTATCAGGATGATAGAGCAGCTTTGGTCGGGGTTTTCTCATTCTAGTGAAATGCCTTTCTGGGGTAGCATTGTTCATCTAGTGCACACTTGGAACACTCTGTGGGAAGATCCTTGCTGATAGTCTGATTTCATGAAAAAGTAAGGACTTTCTAAAATGAAATTTTATGTTCAAACTACACTTCTGGAGAAAAAAACTTTTGGAACATTTACTGGCAAAAATAAGAGATTTTTTCCTTACTAAAAATAAGGAAGGAATACCTCTATATTAGAGTTAAATTGTATTGAGAAGAAGTGCCTTGTGCAGAGGAATCAGCTGCTTGTGTTTATGAGCTGCCTGTTCATACCTCCAGTTTAGATTCTCTTCCTTTGTGACTCATTCTGGATTTCTTTCCTGCAGAGGAGTACACCCTAATTCAGTCTTACCTGACTGGTTAGGAAACTACTTCCAAAGCCCCTGTATTGAAATAGATAACTCTTAGCAAATCAGACAAATAATCAGTCTGGTAAGCTTCACATTTTACACCTGTTGAAGGAGGTTAGATGACTGGGAATATCTAGACAGAAAAAAGATCTGAGCTAATGAAATAATCATCTGATATCACCAGCTAAGTGGATACAGATATCTAAAGGACTACCCAATTCATGGGAGGAAGCTACAACTTGCTTCTGTGAACTTTCTCTGTTCTCCATCAGTAATATTCCTCAGATTCAGTTACATGGACAATTTATCATTTAAATTGCTTCCCTATGTAAACCTCTTTAAAACCATTTAAGTCCCTTTAATTTCATTATACTATTGGCTCAGAGAGAAGTCAATGAACAAAATCAATAAGCAACTTAATAAGGTAAGGACATTCTTTGTTATGAAGTAGTTCAGCATCTTGCCTGCTTAAGAAGTGTATAATTTTTGGACTGGGGCAACCTAGTTGAAAAAAAATTTCCTTGACCTCATCAATTTTCTTGAAAAGTCTTCTCACCACTGAAACTCCAGCATAATCAAACTGGCAGGTCCAGGAGGGTTCTGTAAGGTTTTTAATTGTCCCAGCAGCTTTTCAGTGGGTGGCAGTGCTCCCTCTGAACTCACTCCTCTCTGGCATTATGGGCTGTCTGTTCTGTTCACTTCAGACCTCTTGGGAGCTTCACCGTGCTGTGGTTTTGAAGAACTTGGAAGAGACTGCCTGTAAAAAGAACATCCACCACATTACTTCTCCCTCTTGTCTGTGCATGAAAATGCTAAATCATAAATCAAATATTTCCTTTTCAGTTGCATTACACATTCTCCCAGTGGTGCTGAAATTCCTGGCTTTGCGTGGCATAGTGCCTGTTTTTCTCATACAGTTCATTCACCTCAGGCCAGAACTCAATGAATTATTTTAGTCTGCTCTGGTCAATTTGAATAAATTCATTTGGGCCAGCTTGCATTCTGTAAAGGATGGAAGGGAATATTTTGGATTAGAGTCCCCAGTTGCCAACATATTCCTGTCATTGCCCTGTGAAGCAGATACTCAGGAGCAGGCAGCTGTACAGCTCAGATGTGCAGGAGGATGCCATCATTCCCAAAGCATTTCCTGCATGACCCTGGGCAAGGCTCTGCTTCCATGTTCCATTCCCCAACTGCAGAGTGGAGACACTGGGAGTGGGAAGTTGAACACTTCATTTCTTCTGAGGCTCTCCAGAAGAATTTGGTGATGTTCTTTAAGGCATTCCCCAGCAGACTGTGGCACAGGGCAGCCTGGCCCAGCTGGAGAAGGATAGGCTGGCCCTGGGAGGGTCTGAGTGTTCCTGTGGGTTATTACCTGCCTTACGTAATGGCTGCAGCTTGTTCCTGCTCGTGCTCACCCACCTGAGTGCCCCAAGTGCCAAAAGATAAGGGCTCAGCTTGCACAACCAGCTGACAGCTGCTGCACTCTTTCTCAAGCATTCCATTGCTCTGACCACGGGGACAATCTGGCAGCTGATCCCCAAACCATCAGCTGAGCTGCTGTTACCAAATAATCTGTAATGTGAAGTAATCTACACGGGGTGTTTACCAAATAATTCAGAAAATTGCCCAGTTGTTGATTTTTTCTAAAGAAACCCCTTTTTCTAAATACAGAACAGAAACCAGTGTATATAAATCAAGTTTTCACTCTTAGCTCTGGTGACTTTCATGCAAACAAACCTATAACGTTGCTAAATGTAATGTATCATCAATTATGAGTTATGCAAAAAGATTTAGATGCATGAATACTAAGACTTAGATCATGAATACTAAGTTATGCAAAAAGACAGCTTAAGATGAAGAATATGATTTCTAGAATTAAAGAAGCAGAATAGAAAGGTTCAATGGATGATTCACAGACATAAAGAACTGCATTGGTTATTTAGGATTAGCTTTACATGGAGCCTGGAAAAGCACAAAAGACTGAAATCTCGTGATTCAGCAGTACTACTCACATTTCCTCTGCTCTCTAACATTGGCTCAGCATGTCCACCCACTGTTTTTATTTGCACACACAGCCTACAGGTAGTAGGCATCAGGGAGCTGAGAGGCAGTTTCATTTCATTTAAAAAATTTATTTTTAAAATCTAGGAAAATATGATCTAAAAGGTGAAATGCCTCCCCTATGAGATCTTGCAGTTAAAAAGGAGTAGAGGTGTCCACCCTATTCAGCACAGAACTTTGCAAATTTCTTCCTTTTGCAAAGTTATTAAATTTCCTCTCTTTGAAGTCAGTGTAATTCCAAAGAGTATTTGGATTTATGCATCTGGATTTTGGTGCTCTACAGCAATAACTTGTCATATTTTTTTCCTTTAATTTTTTTTAGCTTTTGTCCTGCTTCCTCACTAATTTCCAGTCTTTAAATAAACCCCACAAGCCATCAGTACTCAGTGAAATCTCTTCTGTCTTTAATTTTAACCTGTAGGCCTGCTGTGAAAAAAAAACTTACAGGCTGAATAAACCCTTTACCTGAAATTTATCTTTACCTGTCACAGGGAATGGAACTTAAATGCAGTAAAAGGTCAATCTGTCTGGTTTTTTTGATGGTCTTGCTGGATCAGACAATTATTTAATTAATTAATTAATCCAGCAAAGATATTATAGGTAGGAGAGACATTCATAAAATGCACTCTGTTATTGATGGTTTTGTGGGGTTTTTGATACACAGAAAAGAAAGGTGTGCTGTGCACAGCTGGCCCTGCTGCCAACAAGAGCTCTGCAGGTTCAAAAATCCCATGTATAGTTCTGAGGGCTTATCAGTATGAAATAAGTTTAAGGTAAATTTTCTTCTAGTTGTCATAAGTTACCTTATCTGGTGTACAAGAAAGATCAGGCAATAGGTTTTGTCATTTATTCTTAAATAAGACCATTTTGGGGCACTTACTCTTAGGTCATTGATAGCTATGCAACCTCCTATAGGTATTGGGGTGCTTCTGCATCTCATATAAAATATAACCTCATCAACTCCCTGTGAATGTGAGGGTTGCTCTGTTGGACACTTGTGTAAATTATGTGTCCCAGGCAAAGCAAGCAAGAGAGCAAGTTTGTGAAAGTATAACTGCAGTGTAAATTGGGTTAATCTAAGCAAGAAAGTAAATTACTGCCTTCCTTGCTGCTGAGATCTGGAGCTGCCCCTAGGTGTTGTGTGATTCTCTCTTCACTCCTGCTGGGACCAAATGTTCTCTATTCCTTTCTTTGACAACTGTGAAAAATCAGGTGAATTTCTGGGGTTGTTTTTTATCACTGCTGTTACTATTGGTTCTTTTATGATACACTGCAGCACAGTATCTCCCTTATCAGCTGCTGCTTGTGGTGCATGCTTAGAACAAAATGACAGTGTTTATCCAACCTGCTCACAAGCTCTCTGGCTCCAGTCTACTGAGGTCTGCCTGGTTTCCATCATGAGCAGAAAGGAAAGGGCAGAGAGGATAATTAGCCATAAATCAAAATGCTTCCCCATGCTTGCTCCCAGGGCAGAGCCACAGCTTGCTACCAAGCATTCAAGGCTGAATCTCTCACATGCAGACTGGTTCCAGGAGCAGCAATTGATTTGCTCAGGACAAAACAGGCATGATTACTCTGGGAGAGGAAGAATCTTGCTTTTTTAATTACAGACTCCATGTGAGATGTGTGTGTCCCATTGAAGATATGATTGCAAAGCTTTGGGGATTTTACACGAACCAGGGAATGGACAATGGGTGTTGGGTACATTGGCACTCTCAGATACTTTTCCCAATCATTGTGTTCTCTCCCCTTTCCTCATTATTTCTTGTCCTCTATGACTGTCCTTCTCTTGAGATTAAATCCCACTTTTTTGAAGAAAAAATAAATTAGCATGTAATTTGCATTCCAAAGAACCAAACAAATAGAACTATGTGTAGCACAAGAGGTGAAGAATTACAAGACCAGATCAGAATTGTGGCTTATTTCAGGATGGATATTTGAGAAGCTGTAGCCAGTTTTCTAATTAAGTGTGCTATGGCTATTTAGGTTAACTTGGAGTGTTAGTGTTTTATATTTTCATTCAACAGTTTTACTAAAGGCTTATTGTTATTTTAAGACAGCTCCAGAAAACATGAATTCTAAGTTCTTATTTAGAAATGTCCTTGCAAACAAATTAGAGTATTTCTTTGACTTGTATTCTAAAAGGGATGCAGCTCTGATAGAAGCATTTTGACAGGGGATGTCTGGAGCAGCCCACCACCAGGTTATCATGGCTCCTTGTTTCTCTGCTCTCTGTAGATTTGCTGCTGCAATGAACTCTCTGCAGCTGCACCGTGACTCATCTTGGGTCCTTTCCTTGCTAGATTTCCACGTTTCTGTGAGGTCTTTTCCCCATGTAGCACTTTCAACATCAGTGATTATTCCAGCAGGACTATCAGTAATGGAAGTTAGGAGTCTCAAATTGTGAAATATAATTTTCCTTCTGTGCCTTTACTTTGGTGCCTCATCTTTGCTAGTGCCCAGGCTTTCAAGAGATGGGCCAGAGATGTGAGTAGGCAAAAAAGAGAGATGAAAAAATGCCATTCAAGTTATTATTTCTAATGTCTACATGATAGGATTTCACTAGTACCTTTGGAGGCAAGTGAAGAATTAAAAAAAACCTCTCAAGATTGATTTTGCCCAAGTTGTTTTATTTAGCAGAAGAACAACCATAAAATAAAACTAGAAGTGATGCAATAAGCAAACAAAAAACAGCATGAAGCAAGAAGGTATGTGAGAAGTGAAACCAGTCAAAATACTGCAGGGATGATAAAGAACTGGGGGATAACTCCATGACAGACAAGAGAAGGAGAATACAAAAAGCTTGAAGGATGGAACAAACACTTGCCAGAAATACAGAAATGTGATGAGGTAAGAGTCAGAGGTGGGTGAGGTGGCAGCAATGCCACGCACAGGGAAAGGACAAGAGAAGCTGCTAACAGATGTCTTCAGGGAGGCCAAGAGCAGAGAGGTACCTTGCCCAACAGCCAGCAGAGGATCAGCCTGTCTTCTTTAAACTTTGAAGGCAATAAAGTAGGGTTTTGGAAGGTTTTATGGTCATGCAGATGGGCTGGAAGAGCCCCAGCTGTCTGCAATGTCAGTTCTCTTACCTGCATAGAGAGTGGATGTGAGGGCCAGAGTTTTTATTTTGAACTGATTGTTTTTTTGAGTGTACTTTAGGTTTAAGTTGGAAATGGCTTTGTCTGAGATTGCTGCCATGCCATCAGGAATGGTTCTAATTCTTTTTCCAGGTGATGTGCACTGTGGAGACCAGAGACAAGATGCACACAGCCCAGCTGAGGAATGCACTCCTGGAACGCTACCCCACAGCTGCCTGGACTGAGCGGTGACGGGCGCAGCGCGGGGTGGGGGCACCAGGGCCTCTGCCAAGGACTCTGCAGAGCCCCTGCCTTGAGGCTTTCACAACAAATATTATCTTTCAAAGCTGAACAGTTAGCAAATAGCATCAGGATATTTATTTCCTGCTCAAAATGTAGTAAATGTCTTTGGGGAAAAAAAGGTTCAACTTGGAACTTTAGTTTAGCTAAGGGAAGCTCTTAGTCTCTGCTGGTGTTGGAATTCCTCAATTCATTATCAGCTGGCTGCCTGGATTTTAGCTAGTTTGTAGAACCCAATTATATTCCATACACAGGGAGAAGGCATTTCTCTTTACATCTGAATATAGACTTCTCAAAGGTCTTCTGATTTTGATGCCCATTGTTGAAGTAATGCAGCTCCTTCTGCTGGACTTAGCCATGTTACAAGTACAGAAATTTTCTGTTTCCAAGCCAGAAGCAGTTTTCTGTTTGCTAAATCTGCTTCAGGAGGTGGGTGGGATTGAACATGAATATGTTCTGATCTTTGCTACCACGTGAGGAAAGATTCTTCTAATAGAAGGTAATTTAAACACAGACAGAAAAACCCTTGGAAGATAAAAGCCAATATAATATTAACTTTTTTCCCAAGGGAAAATGATCCTATTTGCAAAATAAAATTCAAAAATATTTTGCAGAAATTGCAAAAAAGTATAGAGTATGATTAGAGCTCATAAACCGAACACAAATATATTTCTTCCCTCTGCTTTTGGAGAATCAGTATAAAAAGGGGTCTCGCTACCAATGTGAATTTTGTAAATAGCATTCCACTGATTATCTTAGTCTGTCTAAAACAGGCTCTATCCATCTCACCCAACAGATTGAGTACACTGTCAATAGTGACATATATTTAAAGACCACATGTTAATAGCCAAAGGCAGTGCTGGGAGAAGAGGAAGCCTAAGTCTTAGGCACATGGCTAATGCAATTAACAAAGAACACATTGACCTAAATACCATTTTTATCACTACAGGCAGAGACCAACTAATAATATAACAGAGTGGGATGGCAAGAAATGTAAGAAATGTAAGAGTTCAGGCCCTCTTCTGGATGTGCACACAACACAGTTGTGCCTTTTCATTTGGGCAGAATTTAACTTCAGCTCTGGAAGACCTTACAGTTCCTTCAGTATCTGAAGAGGGCCCCCAGGAAAGCTGCATGGGACAAGGGGCAAAGGCTTTAAAGAGGGCAGATTTATATTAGGAATTAAGAAGAAATGCTTTTACTATGAGGGTGGGGAGGCTCTGGCATAGGTTGCCCAGAAAAGTTATGGATGCCCCATCCCTGGAATGATTCAAGGCCATGTTGGCTGGTGCTTTGAGCAGTCTGGTGAACAGAACTCCATGGCAGGGAGGTTGGAACTGAATGGTCTTTGAGGTCCCTTCCAACCCAAACCATTCTGTGGTTCCATGATCCATCTCTCCCTGTAGCTTATACAGGCAAGAAGGGATGAGAAGGGCAGCATTGTGACTGTCTCTGCAGTAGAGATTTCTGAGAAATAATCTGTTTTCTCCTTCTTGTTGTAGTTCACAAAGGAGCAGGACCACAGAGTCTGACAAATGGTGGACAAAAAATAGAAGTTTACAGGTTTGGTCTGGTTTTGGAAGAACCATATTGGTTTGCACATGGAACTAAAAATTATTGATGACCCAGTGGTTAGTTTTGTTCCCTTCTTGCCATCCAGAATGATGGGTATAGGCCTTGGTCCTGTAAATCACAGCTGTGTCTTTTCAGACACAGCTCCTTTCTCCACTGTCAAGAGAGTTTAAAATTCTGTATGGAAGTAGATTACAGAGTCTATATTACCTACTTGCTGCTTCCATTGGAATGAGAAATGAACCACATCATCAAAGAGCAGATTTAGGGATGAAAACCCACTATTGGTAAGGGTCTAACTACCCTCTCATGTGTTTTGGCAAAAATCTCAGGAAATGTTGAGGATGTCTCAGGGATGTCTCATGAGAAGAAAATGGAGATTTATAACCCAAGTTCTCAGTAGTGGCCAACAGGTTCTGCTGTCTGGGTATTTGGTTTAAAATTTTGGATTATCCTGGACTTTGTTGTTTTAGAAGCTCAGAGCATTAACAACTTCTTTCCTAACCAGTGGGAGCTGCAGTTAGCAAGTCTTCACAAACCTGGGGCAAGAAGATGTAGCAGATAGCGCAACCAAAAATCAATGCACTTGAAATCAGTACATGATTTTGGAAATAGGTTTGGGGTGGGGGGAAGGAAGGTGATGTCCAGAAGGTGCTTAAAATGTCAAACATGATATTTGCTGTTTGGTTTTCTTTTTACTGTTTTAAGTATAAACATAGTTTCAAGTGTAAATCACTTTTCAGTAATAAACACTTTATATGTGAATATAATAATATCAGAGGTGATTTACATTCTATATTGCCTTCATTGAAGTCTCATTGGCTTAAAAGACAAAATTAAGATCTTCCAAGGGGGGGAAAAAAACCTCAAAATGAGACATTTAAATGAATGTATGCTTGGAAAGAATAATTAAATACCTGTGCTGCTAACCTTTTCCTTTTTGAATTATGAAATATAATAAGATCTATGGCATTTCAAAGATTTAATAATGTGGTTTTGAATGTTTTATTTAAAGAAGTATTTTTATATAGAGTGTTCTTATGTACCTTGAAAAATAACTTTAATGATTATTTAAAATTTCACTAATGCTTAAATGAGCAAAATATAAATCTAAGCATTGTATTTATTTGAAAAACAATTAAAATTCTGCTACGCCACCTCAGCAATGAAAGATTTGTCATTTTCTCATGTGATAGCCTCACTTTATGAAATCAGAGTTAATATTTTTCTTTTATCTGTCATAGACATTGGCTCAAAACCCACATCATCCATGTGAGGGGGGAGCTCTGAGCTGGCAGGGAGGAGAGAGCAGCTGGGCAGGATGGCTGCTCTGGCCCTGTGTGGTGGAAGGGAAGGCTCCTGGCTGCTCCCCAGCCTGGTGGGAGTCAGCATGGGCTGTCCTCAGTCCAGCATGGGCTGTCCTCAGTCCAGCATGGGCCCTCCTCAGTCCAGCATGGACCTTGCTCAGTCCAGCATGGGCCCTGCTCAGTCCAGCATGGGCCCTGCTCAGTCCAGCATGGGCCCTCCTCAGTCCAGCATGGACCTTGCTCAGTCCAGCATGGGCCCTGCTCAGTCCAGCATGGGCTGTCCTCAGTCCAGCATGGGCCCTCCTCAGTCCAGCATGGGCCCTCCTCAGTCCAGCATGGGCCCTCCTCAGTCCAGCATGGACCTTGCTCAGTCCAGCATGGACCTTGCTCAGTCCAGCATGGGCCCTGCTCAGTCCAGCATGGGCCCTGCTCAGTCCAGCCCAGCCCCTGCTCAGTCCAGCATGGGCCCTGCTCAGTCCTGCTCAGTGGCACAGATGGAGGTGCAGTTCCTGGGCCTGGCTGTGCTCCTGGGCAATGGGGAGGGTGTGGGTGCAGAGTGTCCTGGGCTCTGCTCAGGTGGGTCCATGGGACCAGCTGAATCAACTCTCTGGGATTCTCACTGCAGTCATCACCAGCTTTGGGGAACCTGTCCTTCTCTTCCAGGGTGCCACTGGCTAAAATGCACAGTCCTGTCTCCAGAGGCACAAGATGCCTTGACCCAGGTAGGTCCACTGGAGCTGAGCCACTTTGGGAGCTGTCCTAGGCACACACTGCTTGTCAGGGGCACAGCACAACTTCTTCCCAGGACTATTGCAAACAAGGTGCATCTTAAATTGAAACAAAATCTCTTCCCACACTAATTCCTTAATTTTTTCAACCAGGTCCTGTTAACTGGGGATTAGCATCTAAATCCCTCCCAGTACATGTTTTTGCATCAGGAGCAGTTTATCTTCCCATGCAGGTGGCATGTCCTCATAGGCAGCACCTTGCCTTCTGGCCTGCAGCTTTTGGGAGATTGACAAACTCCCCATCCTACAACACAGTAAGTGAATTTGACATGTTATTGTTTAACTTTTGCTAGACCCAAACATAGGCACGTGGTTTATTGAATGGAAAAGTAAACTGCAACACTCTGGGCTGTAATTCCTGACAGTCATCTATTGGATGGATTTTGTTCTCCTGTCACTTTCTCTGCAGTTTGTTTAACTGCAAGCATTCTGCCATGTATAGAGTGTTGAAGTTTTTAGAGTTTTTTCTGTTACAAATCTTTGCATTCATGTGCTCCCAAACTTTTGCTACATCTCAGAGGAGGAGGAATCCTTCAGTACATTGTGCGCTCCTGAGCTGATGAATTTCCCATTGTTCAAAAGCACTTATTTATTTTTTAAAGCTGCAGCAAAAACTGGTGGCAGTATTTGGAAAATACTCTAATCAAATATGGATGTTGTGAAGTATGTCAGTAATGATCAACATCCCATACAGCTAAGCCCATACAGCCTGTCAGTCAAAAGAAAGCAGGAGTCCTTAAGGACACAGCCAGATGAGTCACATCTGAGTGCACCCACACAAAGGATACAGGAGGCTTGTCCTGTGCTGCTGATGTCTGAAAGCTCCTCTAAATGCAGGCCCTCTGATCTACTTCTGGTTTACTTGCCTGGGGGGCGGGGGGATTTGCAAGGGCAGATTGCAACTGTGAAAATCCCTATCCTTCACACTTTTTAAATTTTGGAGAAGGACGTGGTTTTCCTTTTGATAAGAGGCCTAGAGTGTCTTTAGGACATTTTAAATTGTGTAATTGCTAAACTTAGTAAACTGGTCACCCTGTGTATTCCCACAAGGGGCACCTGTGTGGTTTTCCTTTGTGAAAATGGTCTCAAAGAATGTTGATAAATGATACAATAATGTTCCTTACACCTCTTTCCTCCTCTCCCCTCCTCCTTCCCCTCATGCATGTGCTGTAGGTATGTTTGGAGTTGCAGGGACTGTGTAAGGTCTAGCACAGTACATGGATTGTGCCGTATTATTACTGCATTTCTGAAAAGCAGGAGGAAAGGGAGTACTGAGGGATTTTGTTTCTTTTGCTTTCAACAAGCTATGGTAATTTCTTGAGCTGTTGATGTAGCTCTTGCATAAAGAGACTGTAC